GCAGCACTGAAAACAAGGGTTACTGGGGCCGAGCCACTCAAGGACAACCGCTGAAGAGTGCTGGCCAAATAGTCCGTAACAAGGTCAAGTTGTGAATGACAACACTGTCAAAACAAAACATTAAGCCTACATGTGGCAGTGCATGAGTGCACGTTCACAGAGCATGCTTAGGAAGTATAAGATCTTCTTTCTCATTAGCAGGCATGCCTGCATATCTACAAAAGTAGCAACAGAGTCATTCGCAACACTATGCCTAAATACCAACCCACTGCCCCATGAAGAGCATCCCTGCCTCATTTATTTCTTTTGAGCTCCTTCTGCTCACCTCTCTCTCTCTCTCTCTCTTTCTGAGTCTGTAGGGTCTCGCTCTCTCTCCCTCCCTTCATCCATCTCTCCCCCCCCACCCTCTTCCTCTCTATCATTCGTCTTGCTGCATTGCGAACCCCAGCAGCTGGTTGAGAATCCCCACTGAGCTGTTTCAGCTGAACTCTGCAACATGCACATTTGTTACGTTTGCGTCTTTAATGCCACTGTTTGTGTGCAGGATTTTTTTAGAAGGAGTGTTTGGGTTTGTATTAGCCCTGCGTCCATTCATCATTGAAGAGTATTATGTAGATTCTCAACCTCCTCTTGTCCTCCGAAAGAAAGAATTGCAATAACGTCTTGCCCTCTCTGAATAGCATTAACATAAATGTGTTAACACTTGGTGAAAGCACCAAGTGAAAACCCCGGCCCTTGTTCCATAACTATGTGTTGCCGTCTGAATGAGGCAGGTAGACATGAATAGAATTGTAAATGGCTTCTTTGAAAAGAAGGAAAGAGGCCAGCCCTCTAACAAATTGCACATAAACAAATAGCCTCAGGCGATTGGCTGAGCCCGGGCCAACATCCTTGAGAAGTGACGGAGAAGGAGAGTGAGAGGGAGCGAGCAAGAAAGGAGACTACAAGAAGGGTGCATTCCTTTCCACGTAATTGGGTTTTATTTGGCATCCTATCTCTTTTCTCCTCTTAACCTTTATCACCACCTCTCCCTCGTTTCTCATCACTCCATCAGCATGAGAGTACTTACATCAAGCATCAGGACACAAGCAGCAGGCAGAGTGTGAGTCATGAAATTAACAATGAAACACTGAGAATATGGCAACAAGCTGAGGAGAGACAGAAATAGCAACTTAATAAGTTCTCTGACATTTCCTTGTAATTTTAGCAGGATTATGTTTTGACTCATCTGAAGTCAGCTCTTGCCAGAAGCTGCTGAGTCAAGTTACTAAAATGAGACGAGGTGAAACCTGACCCAACACCACACAGCTGACCCTACATGAAAATAGGAGATTTTGTGAGGATTTTAATGTAAAAAAAAAAAAAAAAAGGTAAATGGTGTTTTCACATATGCTAAAAAATTCACCCCGACTTTCAACACACAACCAGTGAGCGACTGGTGTAATCTGTGTGCACGTAATAAAGCAGCTTCATTCTCTTTTCTGCTTCCAAGCATGTTCTTCTCTGCTCTTTATTTGATGTCCAAAAAAAAAGGAGCATTAACGCAAAAGACAAAATGGTCATTAAAGCATCAGGTGTTGCCCATCAGAGACCCCACCCCTGACACCTGTCTGACAGGGAAAACTTCACACTGTAAAGGGCAAGTATGGGTAAGACATTTGGACAATTTCAGGGGCAGGCTTCCCTGAAATGTTGCATAAATGTTCAGACATGCATAATGAAATTAAGTGGATAAAATAAAAAATATAAATTCTAATGGTAAGGTATATTGAGGATTAAAGACGGCACAATAATAATATATTAGGCAAAACATAAGCAGGGCAAAGCTAAAAAAAAACGAAAAACAAATAGAGTTCTTTATTATTTGAAGTAGCTCAGAGATCAGAGGGGATTTGTTATGGTGGCAGTGGAGTGTGTGATTTATATCTGCACACAGTCTGGGATAGGCCCTTCAAACATAAGTAGGACAACAGCAATGTAGAAGTCAGGGAAGTTCTCAGGTAACATATTAAGGCAGAGCATTATTATAGCAGCTCGTTCACTCAGGGAGAATAATGCAGAAGTGTACCACAGCCAAATATCTGATCAATCATTTCCAGCACGTTGTGGTTAGTTCTGTACGGTGTACACAATGCAAGTGAAAACAAGAACATAAAACAGATTCAGACTCGCACACATCTCCACCAAAACACATGATAAAGAATAAGATGACCTTTCTATCTCATACCTTTATGATTATGCTCCCTCTCTATCATACAAACTGATTATTCCCCCCCAATTCTTATTTAGCTAATGAACAGAAACATATATATAAGATATATGATAATACCTTGATGTAGCAATAAACTTAATTCACAATAAAACATACAGTAGTTGGATAATTAGCCCGTCCAAGGTGTGATATTTTTCCTGTGACATCTCCCCTTCACTGATGATGAATTTCATTGAGGCCTAATGAGGGGACAAAAAGATCCCACCTCTGTACCGCAATCAGAGGTAGTTAAAAGAAGCGTTACAGGAGTGAGACGGGATGGGTGGAGGCAGCAGAGGAAAACAGTGCTGAGTGTGTGTGTGTGCATGTCTGAGAGTGTGTGTACAGTGTGTGGAGCTTGCGTTGTTTCTCTACACACGTCGTGCTTCTGCAACTGGGATACCAGTCTTGCACTGTAGTGGAATCAATTTGGGGCTCCGTTACAGCGCTGCTGCAGAATCGCAATCTGAAAGTGTGTAGTGAATGTATCATCCTCAAAAACAGGTATTTTGGCGTTTGCTCATGCTGCTACCATAGTTCAGTCTGCCCTGCTGTGCAATCATGCTAATGTGCATGGCATTAACATTGTTTTGCTTATAGGGGATGAACATTGAATTTATTATGAAGTGTAAAGTTCATCAGAGTATATCTGAATAAACTTCAATATGATACACTATTTCTGGATTGCAAAATAGCTTCATGACTATTTAATATTCAAAATAGTCATGGAGCTAAAGTAGTCATGGACTAATGCCAAAAACAATCATAAAAACCGAGGATTCACATTTCTGGAGCTGTAATTAGAAATACTGGATTTTCATTATTGGCATCATTTTGTTTTCCTGTATCTCTGAGTCTGATAAGAGAGCCTGGTCTGCCTCTTACTGGAATAGAAGTGTGGAGTAAAGCATGGAGTGGCAGCTGAGAGATGATTGAAATGCACTGCAGACATCAGCGCTGGGATGAGAGTATAAAGAGGAATGATGTTAAATATTGTGGAGAGCCCACTCCAAGAAGCTTTCCCTACTTTTATTTTAAACTTCTGTACGTTCTTTAAAGAATAAAATTATCTGCTTATGCTGAAGGGCAGCAAGAGTTTAAATTCTGCTAAATTAGTTGGACATTTAGGGGAACTGCTTCGCTGACAAAAAGTAGTTTTTAAGAAAAATATGATATTACAATTATTATCATAGTTTTTCTTGTATGTAGCAGTAAAAGGAACTGGCAGCCTTTTTTCTTAGGATTCTTTATGAGATCTCACCTCTGAACTATAGACTCTGCAACAAAATGACCAACATTAAAGTGGAGGGGATTGTAAAAAGGTTATATTAAAGTCTGCTATGTAAGTGTTTTGAGTTGTCTGAAAAAATAGTCCAAAACCAGTGATATTCATTCCTACAACATAGAAACAGGAGATAGTTACACGCACATCACGTAGGTGCAGGGCAGTGCAGAAACATCAGACTGAGGAAGACGATAGACACACATCACAATCACACCCAGAGTTCTTCTTCAGGGCATCATTTTTGAACTTTTGAATTACCTCCTGAAGAATACCTCTGGTAGAAATGTTGTGCTTGTGATTAACTCAAACTTTTTGTGGTATTTGAGCAAGTGCAAGAGCAAGAGCAAGTTTTTACAACATGAAAAAACAAACAGATTTTCTTGTGTTGAAAGGATTTCTGGAATTCTGCACAGAATCTGTAGAAGTGGGACCAGATGTTGGTATCTGAAGTGTTCTGTATAATTTTTTGTAGTTCTTGTGTATCGTCTACCAGCATTTCACTGGCAATTACTGTATGCAGAAAAAAAAAATGTGGCAAGTAAAAGTGCCAGAACGTAATCCCGAATGCTTTTGGCAGTCATCTCACTATGATTTAGCTTTTATAGATAAAATATCTTTAATCAGATATCTGCATTCAACTGCAGCTGACGGTCCGGTCTCAGAAGTTGTTTCTCAAATTGTTACTTTTTATTATTGTAGTCAGACTTTCAACATAGTAACCCAAGGAAAAGAAATACCTGGCAGAAAGTTTTCTTTCCTGGGGCGTCTAGTGGTTAGTGTGCACGCCCCAAGTGCTGAGGCCATGGTCCTCCACTCTCCTCTCTCTAAAATAAAAGGTATCAAAAGCCCAAAATTAAACCTTTAAAAAATATATTAATCCATTTTTTTATTTTCGCCTGAAGCCCAAAAAAGTTGATTTTTTTTTCTGGGGGGTTATATCCCCGTCTGACGATTTCTGATTTGTTCAGGAGTGGTTTTCTATTGGTTGACTTATTAGTTAAGTGAGTTTTTGCTTCAGCTTGATTGCTTTTTTCAGTTTTGAAAGAACTCATGCAGATAAGAGTGACTTTCTGAACTAATTTGACAGTGAAATGCACAACAACATCACCTCTCCCCTTCTCTCTAATGCTTCCTCCCCTCTTTGCTCCCCTCCATTGTGTACGTTTTTTTTCTTTCTGACCCGTCTTGATAAATCTGCTGCATCACAGAAGACAAACTGTTTGGGTTAAAGTGACAACAATCCCCTCCATCCCCCCTCTCCCCGTCTCCTCAGCCCACACAGGCTCTGCCCTCTCCTACAGCAGGGACACAACACAGAGGCAGGCAGGACTTCATATGCAAATATAGCCTGAGTGGGCGGCAGTCGAGAGCAGAGTGTGCAGCAATGTGAGGACTCTCACAAGCCACGCCCACAGAAGCTAGTCGCTAAGCAACCATCCGCAAAGGGGAAGGAGGAAAGAGGGGAAGGAGGGGCCATGAATTCAACAACTGTTGCCTGATCTGAGCTCTCACTGTGTGAATGCAAGTCAGCCGGCGAACCAGTGAGGGAGAGAGGGAAAGAGTGTGAGAGAGTAAGGTCCAGAGTCTGTGCTTGTGTGTATTTGTGAGTGTGTGTGTGTGTGTAACGGAGAGAGAGAAAGAGAGAGAGAGAGAGAGAGAGAGAGAGAGAGGCAGGCAGGCTCTTACAGAAGCCAGGCAGCCAGTGCTGTGTTTTAAAGTGAACGATACATCCTGCTCCGCTCCTCTGCCTCTCTTTGGATTATACCACTAACAGGGACTCACCCTTTGGACTATTCTGGCGCTTCCTCCTCCTCCTAACCTCGCCTTTGAAGGGAACACCTGTGTTGTGTGTGTGTGTGTGTGTTTCTGTGTGTAAGCAAAGGTAGCGGACTTAGCCCTGGTGAACAGGGCGAGTGGATGACTTCAGTGGTTTAGGGTTTGGCGTTCTGATCGAGGAGGACTGCTGACCATGGACTCCCCTCCTCACTAGTAAACGGGGTAAGCAAAGCATCCAGACTGCACCCAACCGGCTGAAAACGGGGTGTGAAAAAGATTATTTTTGACAGAATGAGAACAATACACAGACACGACTCCACAGGAGACGTGAGCGGTTTACTGAGACAAAAAGGGAAAAAAGCAGAGATAGTTTTGAGTTTAAGGGGGGAGACTGGTGGGTAAAGAAGAGCTTGTGCAGAGCCCATTGTCCCCCACTTTGTGTTTGAATGTGTGTGTGTGTGTGTGTGTGTGTGTATGTGTGTGTGTTGCATGCAGTTGACCCTGCCTCACAGCTTCCTCGTCTGCGTGTCTGTCTTGCTCAGCTGTTGGCTTCTGTGTCATCACACTGCACCGTCCTGTCACTTCTGCTATCCTGTATCCCTTCTTACTATTTTGTCTCCCTGAATCAGTCGCTGCTGGCTCTGTTTTGGTTCAACATCTCTTGAGTGTAATGGGATTAATTGGAGGGCAGGGTAGCTGTAGAGATGTTGTGATTAAAAGTGTGCAGTATACTGTCAATGTGAGAACAACAGGTGAATTGTATTTTACTTTAATGAAGGACAGTGTAGGCTGTAATTCCAGTTTTCAATGTGTGTTTTACATCTTTATTATTATTATTATTCAGTTGAATTGAAAAGATTGCGAGACCAAAAGCTTCACACTTTAAGTGCTATTCTAGTTATTCAAGTATGTAGCATGTTTCTTTATAACCAAAAAGTCCCATTGTGTATTGAACCACAATATTGGATATCATAAATTAGAGGTGTAATGCTGAAGTTATTTATACATTTGGCTTGAAGAAGAACTCCTAAAGAAAGGCTTTAGATGTTTTAAATTGCTATAAACTCAAAACTGTCATCATAAGATCAAATACAAATTGAAAAAAACATAAAAATGTTTAATGCAAGTTGATCTTGACAACACAACTGATACTGACTTTGGGTACTATTTATATTCATTCATTACTCCAAGAATAGAAACACAGAAGGCGAGTTTTTGTTTGTCTAGTGCGGTTCTCAATAGCTACATGTGACGTCAGACTCTGCCGAGGTTTTGAATGCTGCTGGTCTGTGACTGGACATTACGTAATGAGATTTACTCTTCTTCCGCCAAAAGGAAATTCTCTGATGATTGTCCCAGAGCCCAAAAACAGTCCCGTAGGACTTTTGTTATCCACTCAAATGATTTGCTTATTTTGTATATTGTTAAATACATTTGCTTTTTCCATTCGTTTAATTTAGTACCTAAACAAGCCTTACTCTGAGCCCAGTGTCTTAGTCCGTGCACAGTATGTACACCATGGACTAGAATAACTAGATTAGCATGCAGTGCTGAGCTGTACTGGATGAATGGAGGCTAATCCGTACCAGGTAAAACAGTCACTCCTCACTGTGATTTCTTTTGTGCTTTCTAACACATTGAAACTGAGTGAGAAGAAAGAATAATCTGCAGACCAAACTTTAAACCAAAACATTCACACCTTCAAATGCGCTGTGGCATTAAAGCCAAATATTATCCTTTATAGAAGCTCTATTTTTTTTTTTTTTACATTTAGAAGATTATGTAAGCTTTTTCTAACATAGAAAACAACAATAATATGACAACATTGGCGAGCAACAGCTGACAAGAGGCAGCGAGTGGCCTGACCACCTGCTGAGGGTCTGCAACTGAAATACCCTCATTCAACGGACAAGAGCAACGAAGCTGTCAAAAAGTCGCTAAAGAGAAGACAATGCACTTTGTTTAACAAAGACAGCGAGACGCTTTCTTTTCTTTTTCACTGGTCATGAGCTTGATGGCTTCAGAGTGGACGTTCTACACGTAGACAGAACACACTTTGGCTCAGACACGACAGACTTACACAATGAGTGAGACAGAGAGTTGTTAAGCGTTTTGTGCTGGTGAGTCATGGTGTTGTTGTGCTTTTCCATTAGGATGAGTCCAACTTCTCTTCATGCCATGATTAAACTAGTGGTGATTAATCATGGGAAACCTGAAGGAGCTACACGTTGTGTCAGTGGACTGTAGACCTCAAATTTGATAATCGATAAAATATTTAAGTCAAGTAAAAAAGCCATTTTTTTTAGGTTCAAGCCTTCTTTTTCCCTTTGGTATTAATAATTTAAGTTTTAAAAAATAACAGGCAAATGAACATATTACTCAAGAACACTGGATTAAAACTGGGTAAATTCAGTTTGCCATTTTCTGCCAAATATTTTCAGTATTATCTGAGTATTTTTACATCAAAATAATTGTATTTTGGGGCGCGCTGGTGGCGCAATGGTTAGGGCGCGCGTCCCATGTGAGACCCTCATCTCAAGCAGTAGGCCCGGGTTCACTTCCACCCATGGCCCCTTTCCCTTTCCCCGCTCTCTCTCCTTGGTTTTTGACTCTATCCACTGTCCTATCTCTGCATTAAAGGACTTGCACTTAGGGGTGTATACTAGTTTTTGGACTAATTAAAAAGCTTTGTCGAAGCTAACAATCCAATAAAATGAATCCCAACATTATGTCCCGCCTTTTATCGTGTGATTGGTTCTAACCTGTTTGAGGTGGAAATAGGTCACAACGCATCAGTTCAGTACTCTCAAAGTTGTGTTTCACAGGGACTTATAGTGTCAGAGGGGAAATGTGTCGTTTGCCGTTTAAATCAATACTCAAAATCATTGGCTATAGGCCTCGAGGTTGAACCTTTAGTGTAAGTCATGATGCCGTACATTAAGCGATATGTGGCCAACAATTATTCCACTTTGTGACATTATCCCGCTGTCTTCTGTTTCTCCTTTTATCCTCCTGTCAACTTCGACTTCTGTCAATTTAAGTATATTCACTCTACCCTCAAGCATTCAAGTCTCAAGCACCACCATGAGGACTCATGAAGTGAGGATGCAATGAGTTAAAGTGTGAGGGAAATCTGATTGTAGAGCCATACTTGTTTATAATTTAAATATTGAGATTTTGCCCCAACAATATCATAAATGCATCACACAAGTCAGAATAACCATAACTGTATCGATATTTTATCCCACTTCTAGTGCAGCCCCAGTGAGCTGCATCACACGGTCTGTTTTGGGTTAGAACAAAGAACACTTTTGACTGCAGGAGTCAGACCGAGGTCGAAAGTGCTCTATCTTTGTTCTACCGCAATGCACTCCTGCAGGTTGTTTCTACTTCCTTGTTTTGAAGTAAAGCCGCAGCATGCTTTTGTTCAAACATATTGGCAGAGACTTGAGAAAACAGAACAGGTTGTTGACACCTTGAGTGCAAATAAACTATCAACCCAAACACCTGTTGCATCTGTGTGACAGTTCCTTCAGTGCATTACATTATAATATTTATTTTTATCTTTTTTTTTTTGATGGATAGATTTTGGATTTTTCTTAATTTGACGGGTGAATAAAGGACACCACGCTGCAGATATGCCAATAATATGGCCTTATAAGTTACTTCCTTGTTTGTCCCTTTGTCCTGATGAGTTTGATATCTTGTGTGAATCACTTTGAATTGTCCTGCTGCTGTATAAACTTGACTTTAATTTTTTCAAAGATATATGACACGTAGTCCTACATGGGGCTAGATAAAATAGAACAGCTATTTGGTTCAACACTCACTTGGTGTCTCTGCTACATCCACACATTGACACAGTGACACACATACTGTCTTCTGAAGAGCATTGTCTGAACGTCGTGCACCAGCAGCTGTCAGCAGGAGACAATGATTGCTTTGGGTGCAGCTCTGTGATCAACAACTAATGGAGCTAAATTGTCTTGCCATGTTCTCAAGATTTCTGTTGTTTTTAAAGACGCTTTTCACTGTTTAAATTTAGACACACGGGAACACAAACTATGCAGAAGAACACAGTAATGACTTGTAATCAAGGGATGTATTTCAAGTTGTCCTTGTTTAACAGGCCAACAGTTTATACACACCCACCCACACAAACACACACGCACATGCGATGTAGCTGGAAACACTTCTGACATTTCTTATCCACTAACCTTAACTGTCACCACAACCTCGTTTTAACCCTTTACTTCACTCTTAATCCTAATCTGGGGGTTAATCTCCCTCAATCCACATTTTTACCTCTTAAAACCCCCCCAATGAAGTCAGGTTGAGCCACAGTTGCCTCCGTGCCTCTCAATGACGTTTTCTCCTCCTGCAGAAGATACAGACTAACAGCTGAAAACACCAGCACACACATAAAACACACACACACACACACCCAGAGGCCTCTTGGGGTTTCCTGTGTGTATGTAAAATGGGTTCATTTAGAAACCCTCACACAGTCTCCAGTGTGCTGATCCAGTCCCTCCCTACATTGTCCTTTGTGCCACGGCATTCCTGGTAATCCAATCAGCTACCTGGTTCCCTAGAGACTCAGGTGGAAACGAATATATGTGTATGTGTGATTGTTTGTGAAGCTGTGTGCAGACTGTTTATCCGTCATGTTTTTAAAGAAGTGTAGTTGTGTGTGTCAAGCCGCTCTATAAAAGGTCTGTTGTTGATTCTTCGCTTTGACTTAAAGATAAATGAGCGGGAAGGAAGAGAGGCTTTATTTAAACGCTCTCACACCGGGGAGTCTCAGGTGTTTATCAAGCGTGTGTGTGTGTGTGTGTGTGTGTGTGTGTGTGTGTGTCTCATTTGCTGAAGCGTGTTAGTTTCTCACTGTGTTGACTTAACAAAATGTTCAGAGTTATGAGTCATCATTACTTCCCTTCTGTGTAATGTGTGAGCGTGTGAATGCGTAGGACGAATATTGCTTACTGTTAGGGTTGGATAACGCTGACGCTCATTGCAGAAACATGCACGTACTCAAAATAAAGGAGTGTTTATGTTCACCTGTCAGGGTATCTACAGAACATGTGGTTAATTGAACCACTTCTCAGCAGGTGACGACTGTATAAAACATGTTTGTTTGCACTGAAGGGTGCAACGCGCTGTGATTGTCATGAGAAATTACTCCGATTATTTGTTTTCTTAGTTGGCTGCTGATTTGAAAG